ATTCACCCAGCAGGCCAGCGCTCACCCGGGGGCAGTGGGGGATGTTGTTCCCCTCAATATTGGGGGGGGGGGTCCTCAGCCCCCTGCCTAGATATATTGAGGGGGCTGAAATTCCTTCTGCCCTCTATGGTTGGCGACCCTGGTTTTGATTGTTTTATTGCATTCATTGTACTTGTGTTGTATTTTTCTTTTGCATTCATATGCTGTTCACTACTTTGGGGGCCTTTGGGCCCCAAAGTGGAATATAAATAAATCATAATGGACACGACACCAAGCAATTCAGAACTACAGCAGTCTTGGGGGAAATTCAAATGAAGAGAAATTCAGAAGCATCCCAGCTTCTAGGTTAAGGAGGGAATTTTTGACAAAACCACCCTGGACACTTCCTCTGACCAAGGAGCTCTGCTCTCTAATCCCAGATGTGTATGTATTGATTGTGATTACTTTTTTTTTTTTTTAAATCATATTTATTAAAGTTTCCAAAAATATAAAAATACAAAGAAAAAAGACAAAAGAAAAAAGATGTTTAAAAACCTTACTTTCATTCCCTACTTTCTGGGACTCCCCCCCCCCCAATTGTATTCCCCTTTCCTTAATTTAGTTCTACAAGCTCTCACTCCCAATTTAAAGCTTGATTTGTTTAACCCACTATCCAGATTGAATTATACAAATCTTACCACCGTCCCACATCATTAACAGAAAAAGAAAAAAAGATTTTCCCCAAGATCCACCCCAGTTCCTTCCACAAATCCCTTTTTTTTAAACACGTCCGATCAAAGTAAAATAACATGCGTAAGTTATGTAAAGAAATAGAAAATAAGAGATATAGAAAAATTCAAAAAATAGTTACACAGCCTTTGGATTTCAAATCTCCCCCCCCCCCTTCCCCGGTTTGAATTCCCCATGTCCATCAGTCTATACATTATCAGCTTGGAAGTCTCATTTCATGACCAGATTTCTCTGATTGTGATTACTAAGGAGGACGGCAAAGGCATGACTAAGCTGTGGCGATCAAACCAATCTCTGTATCTGAGCACCATCGAGTCATGGCTCAAATGGAGCCACAGAAATTGCCTTTCCCACATGATGGATGGGAAATTCCTTCTGCAGTCTAGCAAAAAGGAGTTAATTTGTCTCTGATGCAGAAACAAAGCAGGCTTTTCCCACTGCATTCTCTGGCATGCCTATTACTTTATTTGCACGGCCATAAATTTGGAGCTCTGGAGGATAAAGCCAGCCAAGGGCTGCTTGTACAGGATACCATAATGTAAACTGCATATGCCGTGCAAAGTTGTTAAAGGGAACTAGCAGATGATAATATGCCCAGAGTTGCTGTTAATATCAGTTGATTTCCTCCCATCATATGTCAAAAACAAGGCTCTCCCTCCCCCCACCCCCTGGAATCCCTTCTAGGTTTCTGATGGGCCTATAAATACAAAAGAAGGAAGATTTTTGGTTACCAGATCTCTAATAAGAAATGGCCTGGGTTTCAGAGTTAGGTCAAGCTTTGGAATATGCCTGAAACACACATGCTCTGTGTATATGTATTCCCTCCCCCCTCCCCCTTATTGCTTAGCAGGCGATGACATATGTCAGGGAAATCTGACAAAATCCAGTACATCTGTCACCTTTCCAAGCTCTCAATTCTCTTTCTCTGTGTATCTCTCTGTGTCTTAGTTACTCCATGCATTACCTTTCCCCCTAAAACATACTTGTACAAGAGGAGGCACTGAAGTTGCAGAACACCTCACTTTGCCTGGCTTACAAGGTGAGAATCCCTTCTGAGATGAGCTCCTTTGCTCACAACTGTCTTCCACTCACCATTTAAAGGAAGGGTATCGTGAGCTTACAACGCTCTTCTGCATCTGGTCGGCCTCCCCAAGTGTGCCCCAAGGGCAGAGTATGCATCATGCTTCATGCAAATGTGACCTTTAGAAAAAGCAAATTGCATGAGAGTGGCTGTTGAGAGAATAATAATAATAATAATATAAAAAATCTAGTGTTTGTGTGTGGCGAGGGAATGGCACACCAGTGCTTCTTGAACAAAAATCTAACCAATTTACAGTCTTCAAATGAGCCATTCCAAACACCCAGACCTTCACTTGGCTAGGAATGCACAGAATCCCCGACTGGGATCAGGCGCCACTCGCAGGGAGGAAGGGATGGGTAGAAATGGCGGGCAAAATGATTTTCCCCTTATACTGCAGCCATGTTTAAACATATTTAAAAGCAGGGAAATGTGTGCTGTGTGAAATATCGTTCGTCTTCTGAAGAGGATCTCTGTGTACATACAGCACAATCCTTAATGAAAAGGTCCTCTCCTCTTTCTGTCTCTTCTACAGTCAGAGATATTCTGAATTTGGGTGTTTTCACATATGACCTCTTTATCTGAGATCACAGAGAGCTGCTTTAGACCAAGCCAGAGCATATGCCCTTTTAGCTCAGCAGTGTCTGAACTGGTTGGAAGCAATTATCCAGGGTCTCGGATAGAATTCTTTCTTCCAGCCCTGGAGACTTTGGGGGATTTTGCATGCATAGAATGTGATCTACCACCGAGCCATGACACTTTCCTAAATAAAGCTCATGCAGGGTGCAAAATTTCATTCTTTGGACCTTTTGGAAGACTACAGGGAGGTGTTGGTAAGCAACCAAAGCAGATGTACTGTTGTTCTAACCTAGGAGTGAGGAAAGTGTTTTTAACCTGATGGCAGCATCTCCTACTGTGGAACAAAACTGCATAATTTTTAGCAGGGGCTATTAGAATAAGATCTGTTATTGGATTATTGACATGAACCTCCAAAATGTATTTTGTATACAGTCATACCTCGGGTTACAGACGCTTCAGGTTGTGTTTTTTTGGGTTTCGGCAGTCGCACATGCGCAGAAGCGCTAAATCGCACTTTGTGCATGCGCAGAAGTGCCGAATCGCAACCCGTGCGTGCGCAGACATGGGTTGCGAACGCTGCGGGTTGCGAATGTGCATCCCGCATGGAACACATTCACAACCCGAGCGTCCACTGTAGTTAATTTTTTACCTCTATCTTCAGTACATTGTATTTTATTTTATTACTATGGCTAGTAAAAGGGTAAAGGGACCCCTGACCATTAGGTCCAGTCGTGACAGACTCTGGGGTTGCGGCGCTCATCTCGCTTTATTGACTGAGGGAGCTGGCATACAGCTTCCAGTTTATGTGGCTAGTATGACTAAGCTGCTTCTAGCGAACCAGAGCAGCACACGGAAACGCCGTTTACCTCCCCGCCAGAGCAGTACCTATTTATCTACTTGCACTTTGATGTGCTTTCGAACTGCTAGTGGCAGGAGCAGGGACCGAGCAACGGGAGCTCACCCCTTCGTGGGGATTCGAACCGCCGACCTTCTGATCGGCAAGTCCTAGGCTCTGTGGTTTAACCCACAGCGCCACCCGCGTCCACTATGGCTAGTGGCTGATGCAAATAAAGATTCTACAGTAGGAACACTTGCTAGTGGTGGTCAAGACCCAGGAGCAAAAAGTGGAATGTGATTTTTACCTGTGTACAGTCAGCTAGTTTCTACACATGCACAAACATCTCCATATGCCACCTACGCAAGCAAGAAGCATTGCCCAAATTCAAGGATGCACTTTAACTGGGCAAAAATACTCCAGGTGTGAGGGCTGGGCAGAATCCCAAGGACCACATGATAGAGAGGTCTGACTTTCCACACCCCTCGTCTAGCTCAACTCTACCATTTCTGTTCTAAGAACTTTCCCATTGGGATGGATCTTGGCAGTTTCATTCAGTGTTCTGAATAAAAATAGTGAACATAACCTCATAAATAAGGTGGTGTGGCAGAGAATCTTCCTTGTGTTTTCTCAATGGAAAACGTCTTTTATATTTTCTTTTGCTCAGACACAAATGCACGTACACACAATTAAGAAGGGATCTGCTACAGCAGGAAAAATATTCCCCCTCCCATCTCCTTTATCCCTTCTGAAGTGACTTCTCCTTATCCTGTATTGCCAGCGCTCTATGACTGAAATTTGAAAGCATGTAGCTGTTCATCGGAGAGTGATTAAAGAGCCTCATTTCTTGGAAGAGTCAGTACTCATCATCTGCCGTGATGAATGAGCATCTAACATCCCCTGATCCCATTATATTGTGATTAATTGTGCCAGTTTAAGTCAATAATTCATTTGTTAAAAATAGGGTTGCAAAGTATCATTTGTCTCTGGGGAGCAATCAGAATATTAAAAAAAAATCATTTGCTACTTCTCATTAAATTAGTGTTGGAGGTCCTACCAAAGGGTTCTGTTCATCAAACATTTATTGCACACTTATTTGATAAGAAGTTGTATTTGTCTAAAATTATGTCTGTTAACAGACATAATGGCTTGCATTTCCCCAGCATTAATGAAAGGATTTTTAAATATTTTTTTTGAAGAGTCTAAATAGGTGTGTGACTGAGAAGGATAGGCTGGGACCACAGTTAGAATGATTTCTGAATGCTTGTTTTAGAAAATGGAAATGGATAATATCCTTCTTCTTTTTTCAAAATGAAGTGGGGGCTTCTTCCTTCCCACTGATGTGGCAGTCCCTTAGTGGCAGGTCGTGCATCATTGGTGAGATGTAGGGACCCCAAAGTCTCATATTTATAAATGGTTGTAAAGGTTGCATTCATATTCATAGAGCTAATAAAAATAAATGTTCAGCTGTAAATGGTTCCAAGAGGAATGTATAGGGAATATCACCTAGTATGCTGTGCTAATGATCATGGCCATAACCATAACCAAGGAAGACATTTACTTCATACATCTCTCTAGTCAATGCCTTTTTACACATCTGTAAAATTGCTAGAGATGTGTTGACACATGCTGATCAAATGGTCCTATACAAAGGCCCTGAAGCAAAGGTGATGAGCATAGGGTCCCTCCATATATTGCTGGGCTCTAACTCCAATCAGTTCCATCTAGCATGGCCAATGGTTGGGGATGATGGGAGATATACTGTAGGTCCCATCTAGAGGGCCATTGAACTAAGAACATAGCTCAGTGGTAGAACATCTGCTTTACATTCAGAAGATACCAGATTCAATCCCTGATGTGTCCAGGTAGGGCTGAAACAGCTCTTGCCTGAAACTCTGGAGAGCTGTTGCCAGACAAATTAGACAACACTGAACTAGATGGACTAAAGGTATGACTTGGTATAAGGAAGCTTCCTATGGAGAAGGGTCTTAGCTCAGTGGCAGGGGATCAGCTTTTCATCCAGAAGCTTCCAGGTTCAATCCCTAGTATCTCTAGCTAGGGCTGGGCAAGTTGCCTGTCTGAAATCCCGGAGAGCCACTACGAGTCAACACAGACAATTCTGAGCTAGATAGGTCATTGGTCTGATTCAGTATAAGGCAGCTTCCTATATTTGTGTTATTCAGCCCTGCTTCAAAGAACCATTACAAATCCATGGAAGGTTGGCCACCTCCAGACTGTCAACATTTTGTGAGAGGGTGTCACGGAGCTGACAAGGAGAACAGGTCATTTCATTTAAGCTCTGCATAAGCTCTCTGCAAGCAAATCAGGATGCACCTTCAATAAACAGGTCCGCATGCCACAAAATATTGTTAGTTTTTTATGAGGTGTCAGCAGATTTTGTGGTCATTGCTTACGAGATGGTGACACTAGCTAATATCTAAGGTGCTTCATAGCATTAAACCACAAGTCACTGAATCCAACGTAGCTCATAATCGAATAATTTTTCATCCTGATATATCTAATTGCCCAGATGGCACGAAGTGCCAAATTTTAGTATCCTGTTGGTTGATGCTGGCTAAGAATTTTAGGAACTTCCTGTCCTTTATCACGGATTCAGATGCTATCATGTTGTGCTGCTATCTGCACTAGAGCAGGGGTTCTATACTGTCAATATAGCCAACCAGGGCTTGTAACACAAGTATCACAGCTAAAGAATCCCTCACTGATGGCCATCCTAGCTCTGTTTAAAAACCTCCAGTGAAATAGACCACCTTGGGTTCCATGGTGGAAGAAAGTTAATCATATAAGTGTAATCATTTTTAAAAAGGGCAAATAGCAGTTTGAGGCTCCCCACCTCTCATGAACTGCTATCTGCAAACATTTTAGAAGATTAGCACTGCCTCCATACATCTCCACTGTTGCATCTAGTGTGGCCCTTTTTCAGAGTTCCAGATTCAAAATATGTAACAAGATCCTTCCTCCCTCCATAATGAAAGTATCATTTAGTTTCTGGCTGAAATTAACTTAAAAACTATTCCTCTTAGCAGGGGCAGGAGATACAGTATGGGTAAAGTTGCTCCATTAACAGCACCAGGGAATGGGTTGTAATTTTTCCTTGAGCAAATTATGGAGGTTTGAATCAAAGTGTAAAAGTAGAAACATGGCATCCTTTAAGGAAATGTGCACATTAAGAATCAGAAACTGAGTGCAGTTCTGAAGCAGGTCATCTTGGAAAGAAACATGGCTCCAGTTTCTTTACAAGATTAGCCTCAGTTCTACTGCTTTTGCTTCCTTGATACCTTATAGGTCTTGCATCAATTTTCTTGGGAATCTGCCCATCAGCCAAGCTGAGCTCTGCACAATCCCTTCATTATTTGCAAAGCTTGAGGTTTGACAGGGAGTTCTATTAATGTGACAAGCTTGACCAAAAAATTTGTCACTGCTACAGTGGTGCTTGGGGGAGAAGGAGGGAGTCTGAGTGACTGGTTTCATATGTCTGTGTGAGGGGCAGGAATGCAGTATTGAGCAACAGCCTAAGGAAAGAAAAACAAGAGGTGGTGTTGATAACCTACTTTATGCAGGAATGGGAGTGTTGTGTGTTGTGGCTGCACCCTTTGTAGTCTTTTTTCATAACTAAAATGGTCCAAACACTTAGCCTTTCTTCATACAAAAGATGTTTCAACACCTTGATCACGGGATCAATCTTTTCTACACCTTTTCCAACTACACTAGTATCCTTATTGGGGGACCAAAGGTGTACACATATTCCTTGAGCCAGAGAAATATTTATTCTATGATTCCACACCTGCATTGAATATTCTGAGATGATGATGATTTAAAAAGGTAAATTTCTAAAGCAAACATGGTGCTTTCCAGATGTTGTGATTCTGTCAACGTAGGTTTCTCTCAGTTTCTCATTTTTTCCAATCTTAAGTTCAAGTTCTCCACATCTGTTCACATTTTTTTATATATAAAAATTACTCATCAATTTTCCAGCATTTTCCTTAACACTATGTGTGAGAGAGAGTGATTTTCACTAATAAATACTCGCACTTTCCCTTAATGTATGTATTTTTGTACACATCATTTGGTTGGAACACTACATCTCAAAATTCAGAGAAGTGTGAAAATTCAGAGAAAGGAGAACTGTGGAGAAATGCAAATTTTGGATGATAACTGTATTTTAGTTCATGTATTGGCTTGGGAAGCGTGAATTCAGTGGGTTCACATTAAAATGTGAACCAAGCTGAATTTATTCCCCATCCCTATAGATTGCAACTGCTATCAGCCCCCTCCAGCAATGGTTAATGGTTAAACACAATATCTGAGAAGCCTCACATTGGTTATCCTCGCTGTAGTCCTTTGGCTGTGAAAAGAAATCAAAAAGTGCATTGTCAATAACAGGGAAGATCAGAAAGTAAGAGAGGAGGGAACTTACATGGGATTTACAATAGAGTAGTGATTTTAGATTATTTTTTTCCCTCCATCTCAACTACTGTTGCTACTGAAATATCACTAAAATGCTAAATAAATTTGGATATTATTTTTCAATCAAAACATCACTGTCAGTCAAACATCATGTGGTTCAATGTATGTTTCTTTCTTATGTGGGTTAATTCAGTTTCTTGCAAACATTTTATGCTGTTTTTAAACCCCATCCAAATATAAAACTAAGCTTGCCATATTTCACCCATAAAGTTGAGCTTTTGTAAAGAAAAACCCACCAAAATTATTGAGCTTTTTTGGGACACAAGCCCAAATCGGTGAGCTTTTTTGGAGCTGTTTTTTAAGCTTTTTGGGTTTTACCTGACATTTTGCCCACTTGGTAAATTTCCACCCCCAAACCAGGAAAAGTCAGGAAATTTCCAGACGTATGGCAAGCCTACTAAAACCTCTTTTCCCCAGATGTGTTTGTTTTTGATGGTGTGTGAGGGGGGGGGGTGGATTCTGGTTCTTGGGAGTACAATTGCCAGGGGGCAATATGATAATATGTATGCATCTGGCAACACCATCAGACTGCATGTGTCAACAGTACAGGCCAGGAAATAATTCTTAGAAACCAATTGACTCCTCAGTGGTCATTGAGAATTCTTGTAATGACAATTTTTAATGTTGATTTGGAATCAACCTTTGGAAAGGTCGCATATCACTAGTTTTGATGAGACTAGCAAAACCTTGGAGAAGGTTTGCACAGCTCTACCTATAAGAAGGTAGGAAGAGCCCTGCTAGAAGAGACTAAAGGCCTACCTAGGCCAGGATTCTGTTCTTGCAGTGGACAACCAGCTGCCTACGGGGAGCCCAGGAACAGGCAGGAACAATAGCACTTTCTCACCCATGATCTCCATGAGTGAGCAACTGGTTAAATTGCATACTGCCACAGCAGATTCCTGGTTTGAGGGGTCACTGGCAAGGTATCTCTTATTCAGAGGCTCATCTAGTGGCAGTGGATAGCTCTGGAAATCTTCATTACATTTTCCTTTCCCACAGTGGTCTTGAGAGATCCTAAGCTGGATGCCCCAAGGCATCACTGGAAAGAGAAATCGGACTCTCCAGAGCCATTCACTAGTGCTTGATAAGACAATAGCCAAGGGGGCAAGGAATGGGTGGGTAGAGTGATGGTTGGACCCTCCAGGGGCACTTGGGACCCAAAGCTGCCCAACAGTGCCAGCACTGGTCCTGATAAGCAGAATAAGTTATGTCAATACATGGAAATGAGGACAGACAATTGATGTACTTGATTGATTCTGCTCACCAAATTTAGCTTTGCATTGTACCAAATTTTGATTTAAAAAACCAAGCATACACAGCCTTGTCTTAAACAAATCATTTGAATAAGTTCCCTTTCACACTTGGCATAGTATGGTTGAATTAATCAATGTTTATGAGCCCAATAATTCACACGCAGGTGCTGGTGAAGACATGCTGTAGGCTGCAGAGAAACACACTTTGGTGTGATTTATTGCACAATAACTTATGCGCTGTCAGGTCTCATTGTTTAACCCCATAAAAATGCCATTAGTACAAAGTTTCACATTTTATCCCCTGATTTGTTCTTTGACAGAAACCCCATTCAGCCATATCAAAGCAAATATTCATTGCGGTGGGGGGCGGGAGGAGACAGAAACATCAACCACTGCTGAGCATGGACGTATTTTGTATGCTAAATCAAATTCTGGAATCTGTATTCATCCAACCCAGGGGGTTGGGAACCTGTGGCCCTACAGATTCTGTTGGGCTACTGCTCCCATCACTGCTGACCATTTGCCATGTAGGCTGGGGCTGATGAGAGTTGAAGTCCAACTACTTCTGGAGGACACAAGCTTCCCCACACTTAATCCAACCCATGGTTCAAATAATCTTCAAACCAGTATTTTAAAGTGCACCCACAAGTACTGGCCACACAATCCCAGATTTGAAATATTTTGTGCCATTCGACCCAGCTCCTGCCAACCTAGCAGTTTGAAAGCACGTCAAAGTGCAAGTAGATAAATAGGTACCGCTCAGGCATGAAGGTAAATGGCGTTTCCATGCACTGCTCTGGTTTTGCCAGAAGTGGCTTAGTCATGCTCGCCACATGACCCAGAAAAACTGTCTGCGGACAAACACCAGCTCCCTCAGCCAGTAAAGCGAGATGAGCGCCGCAACCCCAGAGCCGTGACTGGACTTAACTGTCAGGGGTCCTTTACCTTTACGTCACCTTGTACTATGGCTGCCACTCTCATTCTGCGTGAAAAAAACCATAATATCTTTAGCTGGGGACATTTAAAAATATTCAGCACAGGACTCAAATACCAAATCTGGGAGCTCCCATGCAATGACTGGTCCCCACACTGGTTTCACGCAAGAGTCTGCTTACTATGATGCTGAACCAGCTTCATATTCTATGATTCTATGATTCATAGAAGAAAGGAAGCTCTTTCAGTTCTGATACTCAACTGATGAGCTAAGCACAAAACCCATCATGTAGTGTAGGAGTAGCCAATGTTGTGCCCAGGATGCTCCTGGTAGAGCCATACTTTGGTTCACTACGGTTTTGGCATAACCCAAAAAATTGCATTGGGGTAACTGCTTCTCAGAAATCTTCTGTTCCTGACATTTACTTTACTCTATGTGCTGGACAGATGTGATAAGAATCAACATAGAAATAAGAATCGTTGTTGCAATAATGACTATAGAAATGAAAACCAATTTAAGATAAGGTTTCCCCCATGTTTGCTCACCTAGTTCCAGTGATTTCCTGCTTCCTTCACATCATTCTCAAAGACCAGCTCCATCTGGATTGTCCTCAAATCATCAAGAATTGAGTAAAACTTTGTCTCTATTTCTATTTGACTTATCACAACAATTTTTTGTTGTTGTTCAGTCGTTTAGTCGCGTCCAACTCTTTGTGACCCCATGAACCAGAGCATGCCAGGCACTCCTGTCTTCCACTGCCTCCCACAGTTTGGTCAAACTCATGTTGGTAGCTTCGAGAACACTGTCCCACCATCTCATCCTCTGTCGTCCCCTTCTCCTTGTGCCCTCAATCTTTCCCAACATCAGGGTCTTTTCCAGGGAGTCTTCTCTTCTCATGAGGTGGCCAAAGTATTGGAGCCTCAGCTTCAGGATCTGTCCTTCCAGTGAGCACTCAGAGCTGATTTCCTTAAGAATGGATTGGTTTGATCTTCTTGCAGTCCATAGGACACTCAAGAGTCTCCTCCAGAACCATAATTCAAAATCATCAATTCTTTGGTGATCAACCTTCTTTATGGTCCCTCAGACCACATTGTTTCTCTTTTTAGATTAGGATTTCCCCCTTAAACTTTAGATTATGGGTGCATATGTGCATTAGCTATAGTGCTGACCTGCATATCTCTGTTAAAACTGTATGAGCTGATACATATGAAATTTTATTTTCTTCTTGTAAGAAACCAAGCTTTTGCAAATCTGTGTGAGAGTGCTTTGTGAGTGTAAGGATTAATTCAGATGCACAGTTAGAACAGTGCATGTTTGTTTTCTTGCACAAGGCTTCAGTACTTTCATAAGAAGGATGTAGTTGGGATCATATGGAGGGTAAACACACATAGGGGTTCCACACATATGTGGTGTGGACTCCAACTCTCATCAGCCCCAGTCAGCCTGGTCAACGGACAGGGGTGATGTAAATTCTAACTCTAGAACATGTTTGCTACCCCTGCTGTAGAGTCTCTATGTTTGTCTGTGCAGTGCATCTATGCCTAGAATTGATATTTGGTGGGAATGTCTACAGAATGCTCATACCTTAGGAATTTGTCTGTACAGTGGTACCTTGGGTTACAGACGCTTCAGGTTACAGACGCTTCAGGTTACAGACGCCGCTAACCCAGAAATAGTACCTCAGGTTAAGAACTTTGCTTCAGGATGAGAACAGAAATCGTGCTGCGGCAGCGGGAGGCCTCATTAGCTAAAGTGGTACCTCAGGTTAAGAACAGTTTCAGGTTAAGAACAGACCTCCAGAACGAATTAAGTTCTTAACCCGAGGTACCACTGTACCTACCTATCGGCTTTTATTTACCAAAGCCAGACCAAAGGTATTTCCCTCAGAAGTTCTAAATGGCAGGCTGAGAGGCATCCCCGATCAGAATAGACTTTGTTTATGTTCCCAGGATGTTGATTGTATGAAGCATATCCTACTGCATTGTGGGCAATATGAGAAAGCAAGGGATCAACTGATCAAACTCTTACTGGCCACCGCAAAGTTTCTTTTGGAGGTTATAAGAAACAAATATCATTATGCCCTAGATAAAACAAAATGACTGCCTTGGTTTCTTCCATCTGTCTGTCTGGTCGTTTTAACTATATCTAGTTTTGAAATTGTTTTGTGGGTCTTTGGCCTGCAATAAAGTATTGATTGAATATGATGAGAGAGCCACAATTTTATTAGTCCAATGCACATCTGTGTTTATTTTAAGGCTAAGAACATTTTGCATATCCTATTTATTCATATTTTGAATTGTTCTGCTCACCATGCCACTACGACTGATCCCCAGTTCTACTGGAAAATTTCTCAAACTAATTCCAGAATGTGGGTGATGGTGGAAGTACAGTTGCCTCTGTTTTCATCAGTGAGAGAATGCTGGGCTCCCACTATCCATCACTGTTGGCTGGGGTTGATGGGAGTCATAGTCCAACAATACATGGAGAAGATCTTTATTCAGGCTAATAGCTGTTGAGGCTCAGCAGCAAACACAAGGTCCAGAAGTCAAGATTCCAGGATGCATGAGGGACACAAGAAGCTTTGAAGATGTCCCAACAGGAGCTCCTTACTCACAAGTCTCTCCCTACAGTTCTGCCATGTGTGTTGGATGCTGTGTCCACTCGCACCTATGAAGACAGTGCCTGGTTTGGCAACAAGTTATGTCTTGCCCACCTTCCTCCAGCTCTACCACCTGCACCTCCTGTTCAACCCCTCCCTCTGGCTAGTTGAAGTCCTCCCACCTCCCCGATGTGTCTCTGCACTCTGCAGGAGGAGTGGGGAGAAAGATTTTTTTCCTCCTCTGACATCTAGAGTCCCAAGGAGACACAGCACTCTCCTCCAACACCTCTCTGCTGCTCCCCACCCTCAATAATCTTCTGCCTGAGGTGGCCACCTCGCTTTACCAAAGGAATGGATTTGCCAAAATAGTGTTCTCCAGATATTACTCAACTCAACTCCCATCAACCCCAGCTAGCATGGCCAATGGTCAGGAATGATGAGAGCTGCAATGTACAGCATCTGGCGTGCCCCATAGTGGCTACCCTTCGAAGCAGTTTATGCCACATTTCTCTGGCAACTGAACATGTCTCCTTAAAAAGGCATATATGGAAGTGCTAGCTTAAATTATTTTGTGTTTTGTGCCCCTTCCCTGCCCCCTTTGAGCTGCAGTTCATCTCTGGAGTGGAAACAATGGGGAGGGAAGGAACCCGCAGTGCAATGTAGATGGAAACATCAGATGAACAGAACCTCCCCCAATTTCTTGTTCTTTGGGGGTTTCCATTGACTGATAGCCTATTTGACCATGGTTCTCTGTTACACTCCAGTTCGGGAAAGGAACTGCTCCACCTAGTCACGGTTCAGGCACTTTCGGCGAGTGCCAGTTATGGTGGATCTGGGTGCCAGTCATGCACCATTCATTCAAGGATACTGCTGAGTCCTGTTCTGATTGCTACTAGTTCCATACAACTAGGACAGCCAGCACAGGTAACACAAATTTGATAGTTCCCAATTCAGACGAAAGCAGTTACTTCCTGTGCTGTGTTGTTCTTGCTTCATTTTCTGACTCGGTACCACAGTTCTTGGGAAGACAGTTCTTGAACTCACCCTTAAAGAAATAAATGGTACAACACATGCCAATGTACTTTAGAGCATGCTCAGTGACTTCAAATGCATTTGTATTCTGGAGGCTCTCTTTGCACCACTTGAACCAGTGTGCTACTGTGGGATGCATTTGGTTCCTCAGACCCAGGGGTAAGTACCAATGAAGGTCTGTATGGGCCCTGGTGTGATGGGAGGGTTTTCTGGGGACTCCTGTCTGTCAGCCTGATCAGGCTTCTTAGCTGGTGATTTTCCGTCCTCCACCTCTATATCCACTGCTGGACTTTGGGGTAATGAGAGAGCCCTTGAAAGCAGTGCTAGTAGACCGAGGTCCACCCAGAGAGCAAAGGACATCCTTGCTAACTTCCCCCCTCCTAACACCAGCAATGCAACACCTTTTGGTACCTAATATCTGCTGACATTTGACCACACCAGAGCCCATAAAAGACTGCAGAACAGTCAACAATCCAAAATATAGCAATTCTGTTAACAATGCTGTTAGAGAAGACAAAGTATTCGCATTTCCTTCCCACTTTATGCAGTTTTTATCAAGTCCTAAATTGTCGCCAGGAGGGAGAAAGGAAAGGGGAGGAGAGAAAAACATTTCCCAAGTTTTTACTTCTTCTTTTTCTTTTTTAAGAAAGAAAAAGATTTTGTTCAGTTACTAATTCCTTACAGACTCTCCTCTGAGCAGAGACCCAACTGTATCCCTATTAAATTATATAGAGCGAGTCCAGTCCTTGGCTGTCAGCAGGACCCATCAGTCCTAATTTATCGCCCCAGGAAACACAGTACAATTATGGTAATAAATAATAATAGGATTCAGTACATGACAACATGAGTGATGGAGCCTCTCCGAACTCATTTACATTGCTTTGTGTTGCAATCACCCTGCCTCTAATGTAATGCCAGGCAAATGAGCCTTTTTGAATATTGTGCAATCTATTGCAAGTCAACTGGCACAAAACTCACTCAATAAATCTTGTTCAAACACATGCCTTTAATGACAGGTAAATCAACAATGAAGTAATTGCATTTAATGTAGTGATAGACTGGACAAAAACAGTGACCTCAAAGTGACTTTTTGTAAAAGGTATGATCTAGTTGCTGTGGTGCGTGGGATGTATTTTTGTGCTTGCTTTATTTCTTTCTGCTTTCTTTCCTTCTTTCCTCGTTATTTCCCCTTCTTTTTTGTAAAGCAGGAACTTTTTGCTCAGATGCACACCATAATGACATAGTCTTTGATTTAGTGGTTGACCTCTCCAGCAACTGGTGAACCCAAAGGAGCTGGTTTAGACCACAGGGTTCTTAATTTAGAGTAGACCCACAGACTGTACTCAAATTCCCCCAGATTAAATAGGTTATAGATTGGAAAGTGCTGCAGACATGTACCAGCTTCTCTGCTTCTTCTCCTTCTTCCCTGCCCCACAAAGTACATTTGAGCTTGCATAAAATAATTTGGTGGCAGAGATTCAATGACCGGATTTCCCACTTATTTTTTTTAAAAAAGAAGAAATGCCACTGGGACCACCATCTGGATCATGGCCTCAGTGCTGCGGGAGGTGAAGTTTGCTCTTCCTCCCTCTTCCAAGCTTTTGCAAACAAAATTGGAGCTGCTTTTTGCACCACTGGGCTAACCCCGTAGTACAGTAGAACATCTCGTGGTTTTTTGGCCTTGGTGGTAAGAGCAGCAAGGTTCCAACTTGAACTGTAATAATTCGAAACAAATGTGGATGGTGTCTTAGCATGAGAGACATTTGATAACTGTATCCAGAAGCTACCTCAATGCAACTAACACCAAGAGCTAGAGTTGCACTTATGTAGGTACACCTATTGAAGGAGGGTTTAGGTTTCAAATAGGAGTTGTTCTGATGTAGCACTGCAAGCAAGAGCATGTAAATTTGAGATGCACAGGTGAGGAAGAATGCAGAAAGCTGCATGTGGCTGTGAATGCCTAGGGAGGAAAGAGGAAAGCATTTGTGGAAAGCACCACAAAATCATGACCAGACATTAATAGCACTGTAGAACTATATCGGTTTCATTTTGCAAATATTCAGGCTGCTTTGGGGGAAAGGTGGTATTGTTCAAAACAGCTACAGTGGGGATGGGGCTCGAAACCCCATCAGCGCTGCCTGAAATCCCTTCACTAGATCTAATGGTGGCACTGTAGTGCAGATAGAGCATAGAAAGTTAAACATACCCCCCCAAAAAAATAATCTGAGGGCTTATCCACACTTACCTTTCCTCTGCTCTTTCCAGGAACAATCTGCATTTTAAAGCTCTATGTCCAAGGCCCTTTTGTTTTTTGCTCTGGAGCTTTCCCTGTGAAAACCTGCTCTTTAAAGCTCATTCAGAGCAAACAGCAATCTGCAGAAAATCTGATACATGCATGAGGAACACTGATTCCACAATAATTATTCATCTGGAAGCAGCCCATAACACTTCGAAAGATGGGGCCTTATATACATTAATGGTGACGAGGCGTAGCTGCCTCATTCCCAATGTGTCCTTCCTAAGGAGAGGAAGAAGTCTTTCTCTGTGGTGATGCCATGGCAAGGAACTTACTTTCCATTGGACTTGCAATGAATTCCTGTACTGTAGGCTGTTTGGAAGTCCCCCTTCACCTTTCCCCTCTTGCTTCAATTGGCCTTTCAGATGTGATGTTTTTTAGCTGGGTGATGGTCTGGTTGAATACTATTCTTTCCCTGCTCTGTTAGAGTGTTGCGGAAGTGTAGTTTCAAGTTTGTGTATTATGGCCCTTCTTAATGTTGGTTGTTTTTATTGTATGCTGCTTTTGGACATTCATTGAGAAAAGTGGCCTAAAAATGTTTAAATAAAAAAAAATTCTTTTAGGGCATTGGCTGACCCTACTGGGGATTTTAGTCAATATACCAAATGCATGGACCTTGTGAGGGCTGCAAAAAGTGAATAGGGGGCTGGAACACTGCATCTAAAAGTCACAAGGAAGAAACTGACCGGCAAAGCAATCTCTTGTTCAGCAGACATGCCAGTAATTGTCTGCCTTGCTGTTGTTCTTCATCTGTTTGCCCTTTGACTCTGTAGTTGAATGTCTTAGCGGTGAATCAGAAAGGCTCAGCATCTATATTACTGGAGGGGTGTCTAAAATCTGTAGGGAGATAGAGGAAGATATTTTCTTTGAGCACTGCTTTCAGTCCTGTTGATTCTGAGCATAACCAGACTCTGCAAGCTGCATAGTCAAGCAGACAACGTTTTCAAAGAGAAGTGTGATGTGAAGCACATTGCTGGAAACTTTGATTAAATGTTTCCAGCCTCACCTCACAGATGGAGAACTGGGACACAAAGATGGGTTGCATTTATTTACTGCTCTGCTGTATATCTGAGAAGCAGGACAGGTGGGTCTTTACAGCAGGGCTGGGGAGACATTGACAGCCTCAGGGTCACATTCTGGACAACCTTTTGGCAGTGAGGGGCCAATGGTGGTGGGTGGGGCAAAGGCAAATATGGGTGGAGCACCAAGCAAGGCTGATGAAGGAAATGGTTGGGTGGAAGGAGATTCCCGGGGCCAGATAGAAAGGCTTGGAGGTTCTGAGTTTTCCAATCCCTTCTTTACAACAACCCTGCGGGATCTGTCAGCATTATTCACATTTTTACTAGTAAGAAATGAAGGATTAGAGGGGAAATGGAACACCCAGGGTCACCTCATGAATCTATTTCCGAGACTGAACAGTGGACAGAGGCTTCTCTTCAGTCCAAACTAATGGGCTACAGTGTGAGTAGGATTTCTAACCCTGAATGAGCCAAGAAAAGGCAACCCCAATTTTTTAGAGGCAGGGGAATGGATCAAAATGAAAGTAGAAAGAAACTACTCTTGGGTGTTTTTGCGGCAGGGGTGTGAATTTTGAGGGTGGGATACAATTCATACTGCTGTTCCTGAGCTGGTAGCCACCATAGTGATTTCTTCAGAATACTTGGAACAATATCATGTCAGGCTTAAAGATGGGGGTGAAATTTACCCTCTCCAGAACAAAGTGAAGATCCCTGTTGAGTCTACCTACTAGCTTTCCTTTAAAGTGCAGGTTTATTGCTTAAACAGAATTACTTCTGCACACAGAACAGAATGTCCCGTCCCTCTCCTTTACCCTTGTGTCCCTGCAGCTGAAGCCTAAAACATGAGCTTAACTTCCCATTGAGATAACCAAAAGAAAATGTTTTCTCAAAAATAACTCCCAACTGAAATCAGCTAGATTTAATCCAGAGTAAGTATGCATAAGTATACCTTAATGTGTTCAGCTTTGGCCAAATTCTGCTCTAAATGATTATGAATAATAGCCATCTCATGCAACTTGTTTGACCTCTGCATTCAAACTAATGCCAACAAGATAAAATCTATCACAGAGTCCTTCTCCAGATGTTGTTGAACTCCAGGCCCATCAGCCTCTGTCAACATGGTCACTGCTAAGGGATGGTGGGAGTTGTAGTCCAGCAATACTTGGACCCCCATCCCTTTTTCAGTTTTACAAGTTGGGGGGGATCATTCATAGGAGGCTTTGGGCTCCAACCTGTTCAGAGCAGCCTCTGGACTCTTGAGCACAATCCTTTGTCTCCTACTTCTTTGCTTTTTCTTTCACAAGTAAGGCATTAGGGAGACTATCAGAGGTCAGTGTGAAACCATTAAGGTTTACCCATGTCCCTGGGCTCTCTCCATTGATGGCTCCCATACGACGTAAACTGATTAGTGGGATGGCTAGAGGCAGGAGAGAGGCATCATTAAGAAAGGAAGAAAAAAGAACAACAAACCCCCACTAATTTTAGAAAATTGTTACCAGTTGTCTGCACCACAGAGCTTGCTCATCCGTGCTGAAGATGTCAGGCCAGGATCACACGCCTTCCCCTCTCAGCCTAGGCAGCAGGCTTCTGGGACTCTGATTACAAATATATCTTCCATGTTGATTGTGATTCTTTTTCTATAGTTCTGTGCTGTATCTGTATCTTTCTTAGGAGCATGACAGATACTTGGCACAAGGGCATTCCCCAGCAGGAGCACCAGACATCCATCACCAGGTGCAAAATCTTATTATAGGCCACGGTGCTGCGAACGAGTTGGGGGTGGTGTTGGGGCTCTTTGGCTGAGTCTGCCTGGCTAACTGCAGTTTGTTAAAGTTGGCTCAAGCACTGAAATTCAAAGCAGGCCTTGGATTAAGGCTCTCACGGAGCATGCAGAGGTAGATGCCTCTTGAAGTTCTACACAGGCAGAGGGTTGCTTTTCAAAGGTGCCAAGATCCTGAGCCTCTGAAATGATGATGGACTGGTCTGAAATCAAAGCTTGAAGAATGGCTAGCAGACAAATGTGAAAGCAGCTCTGAATTCCTCCAGTCCCAAAGGCACCAAGGAGAATGGGGCCTGCAATCTGGGGTCTGGGCCATGTTGAGCTGCCAGATGTCACTTGGATCAGTGATTCACAAATGATCCTAGGGTCATAGGTGGCATGTGGGTAGGTCACCAAGGTAGGCCACCAGAGCTAATGCAAAGAGCTAATGCAGCAGAAAGCGGAGGGGGGAAAGGTTCCACTGCAAGGTCAAAGGTTGGAGGCAGCAAATGGCTCTAAGCAAGCTAACTGGCAGGGCTGGATGATGACGGCACTTTGCCCAAATTTGCCCTTGAGAAGCATTCCAGTGACCCGACAAGGGTTTATTTAAATGGATCCATGCAACATTAACAGCCGATATTCGACCTTGTTCGTCAGCAAGGGAACAAAAGTGTTTCACACAAATTCAGTCACATTGCCAAGATTTTAATATGACATCCCAAAATTTAAAATGCAGTGGATGTGAACACTGGGAACTGTCTTATTTCAGGTCAGATGTATCCACGTAACCCATATTATGTACTCTGATCAGCTGCAGCAATCTGGGATCCCAGCAGAAATGAATCTTAGCCCCAGCCAGCACAGGACAATAAGGGGTGTTATGCAGCAACATCTGGTAGGCCATATCCCTGCCATAAAGGCCCCCCTCCTGGGATGGAGTCTGGGAGGACTAGCTACATCCAGGAGGGATATAAGGGTTCAGCTGGATCAACTTTTCTCTTCCATGTAGTCTGTTAAGAGCTTTAGAAGATCTGCTGTGACTGCCCTTGGTCTGTAACCCAATGTTCTTGACCTTGGCTTGGGCACAGAGAGTTGCATTCAATGCTAGGCCGACTCAGAATAAACCCATTAAAGTTAATGAACACGACTAACTTAGGGTCATTCATTTCAATGGGTAGAACTTAGTTGACTACAACCCATAGTCCCTGCCTGCTGTTTTCTGCTCTAGAATTCTCTCTAAATTTGTGTCTTCTTTTCAATCCTTCTTTGATCTCTGTCTTCCCAGTCTTAAATTTGTTTTCAGACATAATTCAAAATGCCACTTTTGACCTTTAAAGCCCTAAACAGATTGCTATCTGCTTCCATAGCAATCTGCCTATTAAGAATATCAAAGATAAGGTGAGCCACTCTCCAAAACAGGGATGTCTAAGCTGTGGAGCCAGGTCCCCTGTCAGTTTACTTTGAGCTCATTGATGACCTTTAGATTCCATTTTAATAAAATGTGTTGTTGTTGTTGTTGTTGTTGTTATTGTTGTTGTTGTTGTTGTTAAAAGGGTTTGCAACCCCATAGCTTTATTCTGCTGCTGCTTGTAAACTTGTTCGTATTTGTGTTAAATCTACACTGACTGATAGCAACTCTCCAGTATTTCATACAAGGCTTGCTTTCTCTCTCTCTCTCTCTCTCTCTCTCTCTCTCTCTCTCTCTCCCCTACCTGGAGGTGCCAGGAATTGACCTAGGAACCTCCTGCATACAAGGCCAATGCTCTCCGACTGAGCTACAGCCCTTCTGGGTTTTCAGCTGCGTACTGTTTATTTATTTCTTAATATAAATCTATACCACTTGATATAATAAAAATATGTAAAGTAGTTTACATAAAAATATTAAGAATACAATGACATTCAGTAAAATTTCCTTAAAACTAGATAAAAACAGAGCAAAGCTTTTTATCATAAAAAAAACTGAGCAGTGTATTAAATGGAAAATTTAAAATCAAGAGTCAGAGTCCAGGAAAGTTTGAGTAAACATATAAGCTTTGAAGGGGTCTTTGCAGTCTTTGCCTACTGTTGCTTTAAGTATGTTGTAAAATCTCCTCCAAACCACCAGGGGGGGAAAAAGAAATTGGGAGACAGGGTTGTTTAAAAAATAAACAAATCTGTGAATGTGCAGAACATTCATTTTAAGATATCAGTGTTTGAATTCACATAAGCAAGTTTGAGATAGCAGGATTTACTTATTTCCACCTAAATGCATTGCAGATCTATATGTCTGCTAACTCCTGAGACGGATCTGCAATGTTGTGGACCAGCGCTGCCACCCCCACCATGATCTATTGCAGGGGGCTGCCTGGCCATCGAGGAGGCTTAATACTCAACTCATTGGCCAGGAATTGGCTCCAAGCCTGCCTGCAGATTGGCCAATGGCAGGCAGGCTTAGAGGCAGGGCTCTCCTTGGGGAGGGACTGGCAGAGTATGTAGGCTTCCCTCAGGTCCATTCCCAGGGCATTTAAGGCAGCCTGCCCTGGCCCTGGTGCTCACAAAGAGAGAGGGTTAAAAAAACAACAACCACTAACTAAATAGGTTAATTAATCTGTGAATGTGTAGAAAATTCACTTTAGAAAAATCTGAGTTTGAATTCACATAAGCAAGTTTGAGATAGCAGGGTTTTCTTATTTCCCCCCAAATGCATTCCAGATCTAGACATAACCTAATCCAGTACAAGATTCTCTCATGGTGAGTCAGCACTGATACTATCTGAAGTGACATATGGTGATTGCAGTTATGCAAATGTCAAAAATATCTGAATTTGGATTGCCTCTGGACTGGGGGCAAGGAAAGAAATGATCCAGATGCGTATGTGCTTTCACCTCTGGGTTAATTGCCAGAAATATATGCGTAGAAGCCAGACATTGAATGTGATTGCAAGAAATATTGAAGTAAACGTCAGCCACATCACTTTCATTTTGTGCATATTCTTAAACTGTCTGAGAGAAAGGTGGATGAACTCAACTCTCAACTCCAACATACCTTTTCCCATTTGGTTGGCTCTGAGACTCCAAAGGGAACCTGTGTGTGGTTTCTTCAGAAGATCCCCTGAACAGAGGTGGAAAAACGAATATGGTGATGTGGCAACAAGAGTCATGATTTGTTCCCCCCCCCCCCTCAAACCTAGATCCTTGGACACCCTCTCCCTGTGACCTACCAGGCTCATGGCACCAACCACATGACTGAATAGTCAAAATGTGGCATCCCTATTTGCTACTATTTACCAGGGAAAGTAAGCCACTCTCCTTTGTTGTTGTTTAGTTGTTTAGTCGTGTCCGACTCTTCGTGACCCCGTGGACCAGAGCACGCCAGGCACTCCTGTCTTCCACTGCCTCCCGCAGTTTGGTCAGACTCATGCTGGTAGCTTCAAGAACACTATCCAACCATCTCGTCCTCTGTCGTCCCCTTCTCCTTGCGCCCTCCATCTTTCCCAACATCAGGGTCTTTTCCAGGGAGTCTTCTCTTCTCATGAGGTGGCCAAAGTATTGGAGCCTCAGCTTCACGATCTGTCCTTCCAGCGAGCACTCAGGGCTGATTTCCTTCAGAATGGATACATCTGATCTTCTTGCAGTCCATGGGACTCTCAAGAGTCTCCTCCAGCACTCTCCCTAGCTTCTCCCTAATTTTTGCCTTTGGGAAATACTTTGCAAAACTTCAGTATGAGTTGCTAAATTGTTCATTTCAAGAAGCATTCCAAAATCTTTATCCCAGTTAGCATCTGTTCTGGATCTGAGTTGATTTTATGTATATGTTATTATTTTAAACTCTACTTATATGTATAGCTTTTAAAAATTATTTTTATATGCAGTTATGCTTACCGTATTTTTTGCTCTATAAGACTCACTTTTTCCCTCCTAAAAAGTAAGGGGAAATGTGTGTGCGTCTTATGGAGCGAATGCAGGCTGTGCAGCTATCCCAGAAGCCAGAACAGCAAGAGGGATTGCTGCTTTCACTGCGCAGCGATCCCTCTTGCTGTTCTGGCTTCTGAGATTCAGAATTTTTTTTTTCTTGTTTTCCTCCTCCAAAAACTAGGTGCGTCTTGTGGTCTGGTGCGTCTTATAGAGCGAAAAATACGGTAATTGTTTTTATATACGCAACTGTTTTATAGACATAATTATATCCCAAGTCAATTTGAGATGCCTCTTGGGAAGTAATTCATAAATAAATCATCATCATCTTCAAGGGTCAATCTCCCAGGTTTCTAGAAGCCAAGGGTTATAACCAACTATGTTCTATTTCACTTTTTAAAAAATATTTTATTGAATTTTACAATTTGATCAGCATGATCTATTAACATAAATCACATAAGAAAGTAAACATACATCTCCTTTCCCCCACCCATAGACTTCCCTCAACTCCCCCTTCCAGTTCTTTCTAATATTTTCTCATTCTGCACATTCTAATCTAATCTTAATATCATTTCTCTTTACCTAAAAACTCTGTTGTCTTCCAGAATCTTTTCTATCAAACCCTTTAAATCCCATATTCTACTTGTTTATTTCCACATCATTTTTCAACATCTACCACATTCTATTTTGTCAATTGTAAGTGTTTACTCAAAACCTGCTAGTGAGTCTAGTTCTTTACAATATTTCTGTATAAAGGTAAAGGTAAAGGGACCCCTGACCATTAGGTCCAGTCGTGACCGACTCTGGGGTCGCGGCGCTCATCTTGCTTTATTGGCCGAGAGAGCCGGCATACAGCTTCCGGGTCATGTGGCCAGCATGACTAAGCCGCTTCTGGCGAACCAGAGCAGTGCACGGAAACGCCATTTACCTTACTGCCGGAGCAGTACCTATTTATCTACTTGCAATTTGATGTGCTTTTGAACTGCAAGGTTGGCAGGAGGAGGGACCAAGCAATGGGAGCTCACCCTGTCATGAGGATTCGAACTGCCAACCTTCTAATCGGCAAGTCCTAGGCTCTGTGGTCTAACCCACAGTGCCACCCGCATCCCTAATATTTCTGTATATATAAAATAAATACATTCCAATCTTTTTTAAAGTCTTTGTTGTCCAACTATGTTCTATTTCTAAATACTGTTGGCCTCTAACACCCAGCACGGAATTTAAATCAGGACAGAGTCCCATCTATTCCACCCCCCTGTTCTCGTAGTGAATTCCCAAAGCAGAACCCGAGTGCAACAGCATTCTGCCCACTTGCAATTCTCAGCAGCTTATATTCCTGGGCATCCTGCCTCCGTCAATTCAGATAGAACACAGCCAGTGTGGTTAAGTAGCCATTGATCCTCCATGGATTTGTCTAATTCTCTTTTAAAGTCAACCAAATTGGGGGCCATCACTACATTTGGCAGAAATGAACTCCATCATTTAACTATGCATAATGTGAAGAAGTACTTCCTGAATACTCCGACATTCAGGCTTATTTTAGATGTCTTCAATTTCTAGTATTATGGGGCAGAGGGATAATTCTCCTTCTCCACACTGTGTATAAACTGGTTTTTTTTTGGGGGGGAGGGTGGTTACTCAGCTCTACAGTGTTTACTGTGATTAGCAATCATTCTCCTGAGTCTTAGGAAGAGGTATTTCCCAGCCCTTAGACTTCAGATGCTTTTAAGTCCTAGGGATTGAAACATAGCTGTCAACGTTTTCCTTTTTTAAAGGGAAATTCCATTATTCCAAATAGGATTCCTCACAAGAAAAGGGAAAAGTTGACAACTATGGATTGAACCTGGGACCTTTTTCATGTGTCACCTTCTCTTGCAAAACTGAGTGGATTCCTCTGAGGAAAAGAAAGAGCCATTTCTGGAGTTTCTCTTCTCCTCAATGCCAAGCGTTTGGTTTCACGTGTCCAAGCTCCCCCTTCTGTTATGATCTCCACCTTCCTGAAGGCAGTAGGGCATGCTGGTCAATATCATTAAACACCCAGTTTAATGATATTGCTGCTCTGTGATTGTATTTTACTAGAGGCCTTGCAACTGATACATCATGCTTAAAAACATATTAATCCTCCAGGTGTTATGTGTTCCTTCTCAGTCAATATCATATGTTGGCTCAGATATTGTGCCAAGTGCCTGGCCATTCCTGCCTGATATTATATGGAGAGCAGGGAGGCGCCTGCTGTTTTACAAGGTAACACACCCTTGGTTCCATCAAGGAAAATGGGCTCGCATCTGGAATGAACTTAGTCCAGAAACGTCACATCAGGAAATTGAGTTCTTTCAAACAAACCTCCTGGTGATCAGCCGGGGGAGTTGCTGGCATGCAGCCATACGTTTTGCACAGCCCACCACCCCAGGGCAAGTGCAGCAATGAGTATAGAATCATAGAATCATAGAGTTGGAAGAGACCACAAGGGCCATCGAGTCTAACCCCCTGCCAAGCAGGAAACACCATCAGAGCACTCCTGACATATGGTTGTCAAGCCTCTGCTTAAAGACCTCCAAAGAAGGAGACTCCACCACACTCCTTGGCAGCAAATTCCACTGTCGAACAGCTCTTACTGTCAGGAAGTTCTTCCTAATCTTTAGGTGGAATCTTCTTTCTTGTAGTTTGGATCCATTGCTCCACGTCCGCTTCTCTGGAGCAGCAGAAAACAACCTTTCTCCCTCCTCTATGTGACATCCTTTTATATATTTGAACATGGCTATCATATCACCCCTTAACCTCCTCTTCTCCAGGCTAAACATGCCCAGCTCCCTTAGCCGTTCCTCATAAGGCATCGTTTTCAGGCCTTTGACCATTTTGGAAACACAGCTGGTAATGTATGAGCTCCTAAATGTTTTTTAATCTCATTTCTAGCACATTTATATCCCACTTTTCTTCCATCACAGAACTCAAGCTGAGCCGGTATAGGTAGGTTTCCCTGGAAGTTTTCCATTAAGGCATTGACAAGGGCTGTAGTTCTGTGGTAGAGTGTCTGTTTTGCATGGGGGAGCCCCCTGGCCTAATGCCCAGCATCTCCAGGTAGGCCTTGGGATGTTACTTGATTGAAACCTGGAGAACCCTTGCCAATCACTGTAGGCAGCACGAGCGCCACTTGACAGTGCAAGATAAATATGCTCCGATGCTCCTGTTCAACAAAAAAGAAGAAGAGAAGAAGAGTTTGGATTTGATATCCCGCTTTATCACTACCCTAAGGAGTCTCAAAGCTGCTAACATTCTCCTTTCCCTTCCTCCCCCACAACAAACCCTCTGTGAGGTGAGTGGGGCTGAGAGACTTCAGAGAAGTGTGACTGGCCCAAGGTCACCCAGCAGCTGCATGTGGAGGAGCGGAGACGCAAACTCAGTTCACCAGATTTCGAGTCTACCGCTCTTAACCACTACACCACACTAGATCAGCAGGAGAGCATCTTCTTTGCATGTAGAAGGTCCCAGTTTCAGTCCTCAGGATCACCAGATAGGGCCGAGAGAGACTTCTGCCTGAAACCCTGGATGGCCACTGCCAGTCGGTATAGGCAATACTGTCCCATGGGCTGACTTGGTCTAAGGCAGCTTCCTACATTCAGCCCCCAAATGTGCTCATCTTCAGTAACATGAGTGCATCAGGAGACTGGAGGCTGTGCCATGGGGCAAAAGACAAGAAGCAGTTCAGGTCTGGATGAAAGGATTTGCTTTGCTTAGTAAACAGATGTGTAGGAGGAAGCTCAGAGCCCGTGGCAAATGGCAGCAGTTTTCTGAGCTTTCTCCAGGGCTATTTCCTACCCACAATGTTATCTGCGGAAGGACAATAAGACATTGTTTGGGGTTGGATGCTCAGTTTACTGCTTCCCACCCAACAACGCCCCTAGAACAGGGGTGGGAAACTTGTGGCCCTGTGAATGTTGCTGGACTGCAACTCCCATCATTCCTGGCCATTGGCCATGTTGGCTGGTGCTGATGGGAGCTGGAGGCCAGCAACATCTGGAACGCCATATGTTCCCCATTCCTGGTCCAGTGTTATTTCTGAATTTGGCCACCAAATCCAATAAGTGTTCTTTAATAATTACATTTCCTGTCAACTAAACCCCTGCTTGCCATCTTCCGTTCATTTCTTCATTGTTTATATTCCTGCATATCTTGACATTATTCTTCCTCCTCCTCCAAAAACCCACTTCACTGTTTCTGCAGGTTTTGCTAGCAACAAGCCCCTGCTCTGCTGAAACCACCACAAAAACCCACAACCAACTTGCCCGTTTCCTGGCCCTTCCTTCCGAGATGCCGCCCTCCGAAAAGGAGAACCAACCATGGAATATACAACTTAGCACTTCAAAGCAAATGTTGGGGTCATGATCCAGCCAACTCCACATCAGAGGAAATTAGGTTGCTAGGATCCCAGGATTGTTTATTACGCTCTCAGCTTTAATTAGCTGTAAGTAACATCACGTCAGAGTTCTGCCACAAACACTCAACCTGTCAGCATGATTTTACTGACTCTGACAGTTTAAATCAGAAACAAGAAAGTCAACATATCAATAATGGGACTGGACATGATGGATGTATTAAGGGGAGACCTGAAAAGTTCTCCATTTCATTATGTCTTATAACTGATGTCAGAAAACAGTGTGCCTCGATGAAAAGGTGGGGGGTGGGAAGAGGGTGAAAAGCTTGGAGAGATTACCCTGCTTGTTTCTCCATTACTTCACATCTAAGTTTGTGCCTCCCATACAGGATCCATTTGAAACAGATGAATGCAAAAGCTGAAGGTGGCTTCTGACCTGTTTGGGGCTTGCTTTCTCTCTGCCACTATGTGAAAAGAGAATACCAAGAGGTTGCTCATGAAGAGGTTGCATTGAAGACAGGTACAAGTTGTCTCCATGTACAAGCGCTTGTTCACATGCTACACTTTAATGCTACAAATTAAAGGGAATTTGATCCAGTTTGGATCTTAATGCAAATTTACCTGATTTGAATTTTGCAAAACAAAACACACACACCCCAAAAAAACCCAAAACTGAAAAATATTTCCTTCAAACTTTGCCACTTCTCTGAATATTGTGATGCAGTTTCCCAGCCAAATAATGCATACAGAAATGAACATCAGGGGGAATGTGTGCATGAAAATGAACATATTTGTGAAAATAGCATATAAAATGCATTATATCAGGAAAATTGTTTGCAGATGCATATCATGCAATATTTCACATACAAATTTGGTGAAATTTTCAATAAAAGTTTCGTTTTGACTTTAAAAATAAAGAAACTGAGGCAGTGATGAGCTGAACTTAAGACTAGAAAAATGAGAAACTGAGAAAAACCAAAACTGAGATATTTGACCATTCCTACTTTGAACACAGACGTTCTCCACATGCACAAGTGTTTGTGTGGAAGTGTAGACACTTGTGGATTTGTACAGCTAAACAATTGTGTACCTAGGTCCTACAGACTGTACACTTACTGCATGCTACATGTGGATAACTGTGCGTGTGTACAGCACAACTGCTTCACACATTTTATACTCATTGGTTGTAACGTGTTCACAGGTTCATCTGTGGTGTTTATAGGTAAACAGGCTGTGCACTTGTTTAATGTAACCTGTGAACACAACACATGTATGTTTTAAGAAACATGCCACAAATATTATGGATCCCAGTTTTTTGGGGTTACATTTTAGTGTGAATCTACCCACATCTGCAATGCGTGTACCAACCATTACTTTAAAACGTTCATTTTTCCACATTTTGCAATGCAGTCCTCCTTTTTAAAAATGCACTTAAAGAGCATATATTTGGGGAAAGTGCACAGAAAGATTTGTGTGTTAATTAAAATCTACCCTCAAAAAAGAATTATGTTTGGGGGATTTGCTTGTGAAAATGCATGTTAAACAATTTAGTGTGAAAAACTGAGTCTGTTTGAAGAAATATCCACTAAGGTGAATAGAAATTTTTGGATGGATTGAAAATAAAAAAGCCAAGTAATGTGGAAACAGGGTGAACTAAACCTAAGTTTCATCCATGCCTTTTACATATCCTGCTTGCAAATAAGTAACCCTTCCATAAATGGAGGCCATTTACTGAACACTGGAGTGTTATTATTTATCCATTTATTTACATACTGTCTCTCTTGGCCTCTGTGTGGTGGCTCTCACCCCCGTACTAAGGCAACAGCACAACTGTCCCATTCCCTGTTAATCGCATAAGAGGGGGCTCAAAGCACAGAATGTACAGTGTTGGAGTTCAAAGCAATATTGGAGTTCAAAGCTTGCCCTTGCTTTGAATTAGCTTCACTTGTCTCAAGTAATACCATCACATAATCCAGTCTGAATGGCTATGAGGTGGTTTCACTGTTTCCTTGAAGAGACGACCGAGTTGCAGAGATGGAGAAAAATGGTGCCAACACAGTGGGCAATTGTTGCAGGTGTGGGCACAAACACCACAAGAAGTAGTAAGGTAAAGGTAAAGGGACCCCTGACCATTAGGTCCAGTCGTGACTGACTCTGGGGTTGCGGCGTTCATCTCGCTTTATTGGCCGAGGGAGCCAGCGTACAGCTTCCGGGTCACGTGGCCAGCATGACTAAGCCACTTCTGGCGAACCAGAGCAGCACACGGACATGCCGTTTACCTTCCCGCCGGAGCGTGACTTTTGACATGCTTTTGAACTGCTAGGTTGGCAGGAGCAGGGACTGAGCAATGGGAGCTCACCCCGTTGCAGGGATTCGAACCGCCAACCTTCTGATCGGCAAGTCCTAGGCTCTGTGGTTTAACCCACAGCGCCACCCGCGTCCCAAGAGGTAGTATTCAAGCCTAAATGATCATTAAAAACATATGTGAAGTTTTTCTCAAAATGCCACACCCGCAATGCAGATTGGCCCAAAGATGGAAAGGGGTCCAAGAACTGCACTGAAGGAAACGAATGCTGCATCTTCCCCTGTTACAGCCCCTGGAAGCATTATGCCATTGAAGCTTTGTGAATGATCACAGGACTGTGCATGAATGCTCATTAAATAGCCAACATCATCTAACCTCCCTGCAAAAAAATTTTTTAAAAAAATCAGGCTGAATGCTCAACAAACAGGTCACCTGAAGGCTTTATTGTGGTTTCATTCTTTGTTTAGGAACTGATTTGCTAATTTCCATTTCAGAGTGGGAGAAAACACGTTTAAGTAAAATACATATAATTATTGCAGAGCACTTTGAACCATTATGCTAAAGGCAGGTCTTGTTTCAGTCATTTTAATAGCAGTGTTAAGCACAATATGATGGGGGATGAGGGTGTCAGGGCTGGGGTGGAGGGTGGGGTGACCTGGCTCCAAATCTGCACCCCTGTTGTGAAACTCCCCAGGTGACCTCAGACCAGCTGCTACCTCTCAGCCTAATCTACCTGAATGAGTTCTTGTGTTGATAAAATTGGGGTAAATGAAACCATGCATGCTACCCTAAGGTGCTTGAAGGAAGACAGAAAGTTGTTGTTTTTAAATGAGCTCAGAATATTCATTTGCATGTCATTTCCCCTTTTCTCTTCCAACACTTAGATATATGCAAGAATATCTCAGGCAATTTAAGCTTTATGGAGGGAAACCCACTTTCCACTGGTTTTCTGGCCAATTTAAAACTAACCTATTTAGTGGATTCCTGCCCCCAATCTGAATTTGTCACAGGCCATCTTTAAACACACATACATTTAAATGAATTACAGTATGCAAATAAGCAAAGGCTAGTGAAATTGTCACTGGGATAATTTTAACAAATCTGTCTGATCATTTGCACTTTGGGGTTTGGTGTGCGTGCTTGCATGCCTGCCTGCCTTCATGTTTTAAGTCAGCTGCAATGCCAAATATATACTGTGCAATGCAGCCTTCAGCAACCTGGAGCCCCTAAGTAGTTTAGTCTTGTTGTTGTTGTTTAGTCATTTAGTCGTGTCCGACTCTTCGTGACCCCATGGACCAGAGCACGCCAGGCACTCCTGTCTTCCACTGCCTCCCGCAGTTTGGTCAAACTCATGCTGGTAGCTTCGAGAGCACTGTCCAACCATCTCGTCCTCTGTCGTCCCCTTCTCCTTGTGCCCTCCATCTTTCCCAACATCTGGGTCTTTTCCAGCGAGTCTTCTCTTCTCATGAGGTGGCCAAAGTATTGGAGCCTCAGCTTCACGATCTGTCCTTCCAGCGAGCACTCAGGGCTGATTTCCTTAAGAATGGATAGGTTTGATCTTCTTGCAGTCCATGGGACTCTCAAGAGTCTCCTCCAGCACCATAACTCAAAAGCATCAATTCTTCGGCGATCAGCCTTCTTTATGGTCCAGCTCTCACTTCCATACATCACTACTGGGAAAACCATAGCTTAACTATACGGACCTTTGTTGGCAAGGTGATGTCTTTGCTTTTTAAGATGTTGTCTAGGTTTGTCATTGCTTTTCTCCCAAGAATCTCTCACTTTAGTCTACAATTCCCATAAACCATGCTGGCTGGGAGGATGATGGAAATAGTGTCCCAAACCATTTGGAGGGCACTAGGTTGAAAAGGGTTAGTGTAACATACGTGCAGTGCCAGATTTACGTATAAGCTAAACAAGCTATAGCTTAGGGCCTCACTCTCTTGGGGGCCCCAAAAAAAATAAAGGGGGGAAAACTGGATGTACATTTCCAAAATATAAGATAAAAAACAAAATAAAATAAAACCTACATACATCAACAGTGTTTTGTGTTGTGTAGGCTTGTATGATGCAAGTAATGGGCCCTGCCTGCTAGCCTGCTCCCTAAAATATCACTGGTTTGCTCATTTCTATATATAGGGTGCCTACATTCTGCATGGACTGGTTGTATGGCAACATGTAGCAAGCAAACTGCAGTGAAGCACAGTTGAATGTAGGTTGAGCTGTTGTACCTGTTACCTAATATTAAGGAGTGCTTGTAGACTGATGATCAGGCAGCATAGACTAAGGGTATGAGTATGATTTCATGTAATACATTATTTATTTTGATCCCATTATAAAATTACTTTAGAAAAAATATTCATCTTTATTATGTAGTAGGCCTATATTATTATTTACTAGTATAGTTCCCACTTGCTGCTATAATACTATATAAATATTATAAATATATTAAATATTTTACTTACTTACTTATAAAGTAAGGTTACCAGATTTTTTTCAATGAATCAACTTCCTACTAAATACAGTGGTACCTTGGGTTAAGAACGTAATTCGTTCTGGAGGTCTGTTCTTAACCTGAAACTGTTCTTAACCTGAAGCACCACTTTAGCTAATGGGGCCTCCTGCTGCTGCTGTGCCGCCACTGCACAATTTCTGTTCTCATCCTGAAGCAAAGTTCTTAACCCAAGGTACTATTTCTGGGTTAGCGGAGTCTGTAACCTGAAGTGTATGTAACCCGAGGTACCACTGTAGATGGATTTTGTCAGGGAACTGATTTGTAAATCCAGGGACTGTCCCCGGGAAACGGGGACGTCTGGCAACTTTATTATAAAGGGCCCCATTACCTTCAGTAGCTCAGGGCCTCATCAAACCTAAATCCAGCCCTGCATATGTGTATCCATCAACATTTCTCATTCCCCGCCCCCAAGCTTAAATTCATTTCCCACATCGGTTTGAGACCATTTTTTCCCCTAAAATCCTTTACCCCCGTTAGATTTTATCAAAACTTTTACATAATGCAATAAGATATAAGAAAACCAAAACTGAGAAAAGAAGAGAAAAGAAAAGGCAGAGTCCTCTCTCAAAGGTAGTGTTTACTTGTCATGCACAGAAAATGCTGGACCCTCCCAGCTCTCACCTGGGAGCTTTCCTTTCTGCCCCCAGTCTCTCACCCTGGGTGATCTTCCCTTCTCCTCACTCAGGGTCCTTCCACCAACCATCTAATACGTGTGTGTGTGTGTGTGTGTGTGTGTGTGTGATCCTTGGACTCCAATAGTGGCCCAGAGCAAAGAACACCAAAGGGGAAGAAAAAGAAAAAAGAAGATAAAAAAGAAGGAAAGAACAGAACAGAAAAGAAAAGAAAAGAAAAGAAAAGAAAAGAAAGAAGACAGAAAAATAAAAAGGATTTCCGATTTTCTGTCTGTCAGGTACATAAAAGAAATTATTCAAAACATTCACTCTAGGATGACATCCAACTGTTCTACTTTCTGTTAAGAAGTATTTTCCCAGGCTTCAGACCCAAATGTCTCAATAAAAACAATATAAAAATCTTTCAATCTTTGTCCATAGGAGAGGCTCTTCAGTGTGATCATATATTGATATATTATTCTGCATTTCTTTCCTTGTTATGTTTGCATATAGCTCTGTATCTTCCGTTCCCATTTCTTGTGTTTGCTGTGGTTTTCCATCCTTACCTTTTTAAAAAAATTCTTCCATTTATGTTTCTTCCATTCTTTTTCCAAGAAAAGCACAGAGCCCTTTCTCTCTCTCTCTCTCAGTGCTATTGATGCCAGGCTCAAGGTGTCTCTCCACCTCTCCATCCATGGTTTCATTCCACTCCTCCAGAATCACAACTCCACCATTTGGCTTTTTCATTCCTCCAAACACCTGTGTGAGGGACTGTTTCCATTTCACCCTCTGTTCCTTCCAACTCTACCATTTCACCCTCTTCTTCTGCCAGTCCTTTATCCATATTCTTCTCTGAAGTCTCTGTGCCATCTTTGATTCCGCTTTTCATTTCATTCATCTCTGGTTTACTTTCATTCTGCATTAGATCAAACTTTGATCTAATCAAATTATTTTCTCATCAAACATTTGCTGAAGGATGCCAACTGTTGATGGAACGTCCAAAGATGTACTTGCCATACTGAATGTTTTTGATCTTATTAGCAGTTCAGTCTCATTACACCTCCCATCTCTACCTTAAGACTTTCACACCCTTGTCTCTTACTAGAATCAACACATTTCTTTCCCATAGAGGAAGTATCAAGTGGCAGAATTACTTTCGATTTCTAAGCAACACTTTCATCAAGGGAAAAAAATAAAGAAAATAAAAATTCTTAGCACACAGAACTCCCTTGCTTGTTTAAAACTTTCTTGACACAAACCATTAAAGCAGGCTTTTTCTGCCTTCAATCCTTTAACAGTTGACTTCGCTTCCCTTCTTCTTGAAGCCAGAAAGCAGCTCACACATCAAATGTAAATTTCTACCTACAGACGAATAAATCTCTCTTGGTTATAAATTTTAACCATCTCAGAAATAATTTTAAAAGTTCACCAGCATTTTAGTGTAAATTTCTCCTAAGAGACAGATATCTGTGTGCAATTTTGTCTAACATACGCAATTTTACAACGCAATTTCTCCCCCAAATAATGCATTTTTGCGTGTTACTTTCACTATTATATCCTTTAACCCAGTGCATGCATGTTTGTATGTATTACTTGCCTGCAGGGCCACATTGCAAAATTCAGAATAGTTCAAATTTGAAAGGACAGCTGTGTTTCAATTCTCATATTTTGGAAGTGCAGGTTAGGAAAGTTCACCCATAAATGTGAATTGAAATCTGCCCCTGTCCCTACCTTTAGGGATCTCTTTTCCCCTATGGAAAAGGTGAATATTCCACTCCATTCCCAATGCCTGTGGTTTTCAACCGATGCATAACACTGCTGCTCAGGACAACTGAAGCTAGACTGGGAGAGAGGGCAGATGGTGCACTGCAAAGCCTCACCTTTTTGAGGGGCAGGGAGAGCCGGATTATGAGGGGAAGGTGATTGTGCAACTAGAGGCTGCTCAGTGGGGATTTATGGCTGCATAGCTGCTCCCCCTTCTGTTGACTTCTGCGCATTCATCAACAGAGGCACTCCCAGGCAAAGCCTAGATGGAGCTGCTTGTCAGAGGACAATTTTCCATTGCTTCCCCGCAGCCCTTCTCTCACCTCCCCATGATGTTCTTTATAGGGGGAATAAACAAACAGCCATTAACGATCTCTCTTCCTAGCCTGGGCCATGTGCGGGTTCCCTGATGAGCTGGCTTGTGGCATTTATTAGACCAAGTGGAAAACTGCTTGCTTCATCATGGAGCACAGCTGGGTGCAGAATGCATTTCAAAGGCAATGCCACTGACCTCCAGATCAGCTGCTGCATGCCAGGGTATTGCAGATGCAGTAGATTTCACCCTCTTCCCCGTTCCTTTCACTCGGTCCTTCTCTCTCTCTCTCTCTCTCTCTCTCTCTCTCTCTCTCTCTCCCTGTCTTTCCCCTCTCTCTTTTCTCTCTGCAATGTCCTGACCTTGCAAGGCCTCGGTCTCCCCTATCCATCTCCCAGCATTCATTCTCTCCGGTGAACTCACGCTGGGAGATTAATTGCCACCATCACCCCTAATCCATCACACTTCCCCAAGATTGTTTTGACATCTAGTTAATTTTTGGCTGATGATTTATCAAATTCTTATTACCGCGCTCTGAAAGGGGTCATTTATTGTGTTGATTCATGGTAATGATAAAGGGGAAGCTTTTTGAATTTTAACTACTAGCCTTTTGCCCAGCTCAGTGAAAAAAAGGGGGAGGGGGGAAGAAGAGAAAATATGGTCAGTAATTCCTAAACTATCTGGTGTGTGAATAGTTTTCTTCTTCTTTAAAAGCTTCCCTTATTTGTTTGAGAGCTGAAGTCTGAAAGAGGTTAATATATAGTAAGATGTATTTTTGGAATCCTGGTCTGGCCTGTGTTTCAACAGCATCCCCTAAGGCTCTTTAAACCTTTTATTACCCTGTAATGTTACCTAAATGTCTACTACCATTTTATTCAAATAGAACTTAATAGGGAGTGATGTCAGTCATGTACCAGTGGAAATATAAAACACGCCTCTTGGCCAAGCCATAGGGCAATTCCAGCATTTTAAAAAGTACACAGAGGGTTTTTTTGTAGCTCTTCATGTCACTCCCCCATCTCAGTTCCACCTATTTTAATTTGCTGCTCAGGATTTTATTTTTTTAAAATAAGCCCAGATGGTGAAAGGGAGTACATCGTGAAACATGCATTCACTGTTCCAGAAGACTTGGGAAATCCAATATGCTAGGCTGGAAGAAGAGATACTAATTACATGGAAGGGAGGAGATACCCAAATGGAACCGATAATAAATAAGACAGTGGGTACATTTGTATTATACATGATTGGGGGCAGTATGAAGGGGACTAATGATAAAGGAGGGCTGTTGCTTTCATGCCTTGCTTCTGGATTTCCTGCAGACATCCAAATGGCTAGTGGTGATGAGGGGAAGGACCCAGGACTAGATAGATCTCTGTTCCTGTAATGAACCAAGCCAGCACAAAGCTGGCCTGTTATGTCTCCTTCTCCAAAATACACTAAAAGATGCAGTTTTGTAAAGATGCTAACAAGTGCTTTGGAACAGTGGTCACCAACTCCTGCACAGACCTTCAGATTCCTGGATTCCTTGTCTCGGTGGGAGCCCTGACCTTCGACCAGTGGTAAATTGCTTTTGAATATGTCCCAGGCTCTGGAATTCCTTGCCAAGGAAGGCCCATCTGGCCCCTTCTGTGATGACCTTTTGCCAGCAGCCAATGATGTTTTCATTCAGACAGGTTGTGGCCTCATTAGATGACTTCTTATAGCCACTGTTAAATGTTGCGATTTTGTCATCCAAATATTATTTGTAAGGGTTTTATTTATTTTCCTAGCTATTTTAGGTGAACACATGTAGAATCCTCATTGTGACTGGGAACCGCCTGTTAACATCAGCCAGGCACCCTCACTATATTGTTTTAAGTGCCACATGAAAACGTCATTGTTTCAACAAAATTACACAGGCATGAAATTCTGTTATATGTACAGTACCTGGCTTTGTTGTTTTTTTAAAGTCTGTTGGTTTGATTTATAAATTTTTATAATCTGAATATGTATAAGGGTAAAGGTAAAGGGACCCCTGACCATTAGGTCCAGTCGTGGCCAACTCTGGGGTTGCGGCGCTCATCTCGCTTTACTGGCCGAGGGAGCCGGCGTACAGCTTCCGGGTCATGTGGCCAGCATGACTAAGCCGCGAACCAGAGCAGCGCACGGAAACACCTTTTACCTTCCCGCCAGAGTGGTACCTATTTATCTTCTTGCACTTTGACGTGCTTTCGAACTGCTAGGTTGGCAGGAGCAGGGACCGAGCAACGGGAGCTCACCCCGTCGCGGGGATTCGAACAGCCGACCTTCTAATCAGCAAGTCCTAGGCTCTGTGGTTTAACCCACAGCGCCACCCACGTCCCCTGAATATATATACTTGTTTTTAAATCTTGATGATAATATCTGCAATTTTTGATAAACATCTTACACCTTTTTATGTAAACTGCTTATATATTCATTTATTTGACTAAGGATGCATTGAGACATGAATTTTCTTTTAATTGCTTTCTGGTGTATTATCATTATCATGATTACTGCGATTAATTTATTAATCACTTTCTAAACCACCATCTCAAGGCAATTTGTTGCTGGCATCCATCTGTCTCAGGAGAAACACATAAGGTAACTAAAAACAGTTTAAAAAACACAAATGCAACAAATACGTTTAAAATGAGACGAGAACCCTAATAAGTTGGTGCTCATAGTAAAACCTAATTATCTAGCTATGAATGACAGTCAGAACAAATAAAATGTATTCAACTGTTTCCAGAATGTGCCCCTAGTGGGCACCTGTTCCACGGAATAAGGGCAACCACACTCAAGGTTACTGTAGAGCAGGTTTCTCCTATCTTTGGACTTGCAGGAGAAACTGTCCCACAGATGGTAGTGATCTACTCTGTTTATAATGGATAAGACAACCTCTCATGTAACTTGGTCTTGAGCCGGATGGGAACTTATATGTTAGTACCAACACCTTGAACTTGGCCCAGTAGCAAATTGGCAGCTAGTGCAAATCTCACAGGACAGGCAATGTGTTATATGCTGCTTGTAATTTGCCCCCACAAGTGACCTAGGTGCCACATTCTGCACCAGTTGTAGGACCTGGACCAATCCCAGGGGTAGCCCCATATAGAGCAGATTTCAGTAATTCAGCCATGAGGTTACCAATGCATGGGCAACTGTGTCTAAATTCTACTGAGCCAGGAATGGCCATGGCTATCTTACCAACTGAAGTTGGCAAAAAACCACTCCTAGACACTGAGGATACCTGTGCCTTGAGTGACAGACCTGGATTGAGGAGCACACCCAAATTATGCTCCAGCTGCTTCATGGATTGTGCGACCCCATCCAAGGCAGGCAACTTACTGACCTCCCAGAACTAGGAACGACTCATCTGAACTATGTACTTTCAAGAATTCAGTCTCAGTTCATTAGCCCCCATCCAGCCCAGAACCCAAAGCCAATGCTGCAATGTGGCAAAGCAATTTGCCACAGGCAGCAGATCCACCTCCCTCTCTGCCTCTACCATTGTGTTGCTGCCAAGCCCATTGTGGCTTTGCCTGTGCCGCTACCACTGCCGCTACAACACCCTTGCTGATCCTCTTTTTCTAGAATAATAGTACTGATGAAAAGTGTTGTGGGTGCCAGCGAAAAACTGATGACATTTGCAGAGAGAGAGAGAGAGAGAGAGAGAGAGAGAGAGAGAGAGAAAATATGACTATTGGGTACTGTCACAAGAAAATCACTGCATTAGAGGCACTGGGGGTTGGCAGTAGGCCCTTTACTGGGACATGGGCCAGTGCCCAACAATGCTGCCCATTTGGTGTTGGCCCGGCTGATAAGCGAATGTAGTTTTGCAGACACATGATGCAATTTGCTATGTCTTTTTTCATATCCACTATGAATATGAAAATAGTTGTGCATGATAATCAGAGGTTGTTAAGTGGCCATTAAACATTAGTAACCTGTTTTCATTCTGCATTTAGCAAATCATGGCCACACACCCATGATTAATGAATGCTGTGCGCGGGAGGCATTGTTTTTGTTTGTTACTATATATGCATTTTTTGTTTTTATATTGTAAGACATGGGTAGGCAAACTAAGGCCCGGGGACCAGATCTGGCCCAATCGCCTTCTAAAATCCAACCCACAGACGGTCCGGGGATTAGCATGTTTTTACATGAGTAGAATGCGTCCTTCTATTTAAAATGCATCAGTGGGTTATTTGTGGGGCATAGGAATTTGTTCATTTTTTTCCTTCAAAATATAGTCCGCCCCCCCCCCACAAGGTCTGAGGGACAGTGGACTGGCCCCCTGCTGGAAAGATTTGCTGACCCCTCTTGTAAGATAATCTGATCCTCAGATGAAGTGTGGTATAGAAATGTTGTTGTTGTATCATGATAAGTTCCTTTATATCTGCTCATTTTGCACCAGTGGGATGATAATGAGCCAGACAAGGTTACAATGTACCAAGACAACCCCAATTGAAGGGTCACAGAACAGAGTCAGAGCTCCAGTACATGTTTGATAAGACTGTGAGTCATTAAGATATGAAGGCATATGCGCTGCACTCCTTTCTTATGGTTGGACCATTACCTGGTGAATTTTGCACTGATGGTGGCAATTTCTAAGGGTGGTGGGCGTATTTGGATGGCTTGACCTGGAAAATTGGTGGAAATTGATGTGTTCCTGTATGCTTTGGATGATTTTCCAACAGACAAAGATGAC